GGGGGGGGGGGGCCCACAGGGGATCCTCACCAGGTTTTCCTTTGTTTGTTTGCAGGGAATTTTGACTGGGTAGGGAATGATTTTACCCAGAATGCGGGCACGGGCCTGGTGATCAACCAAGCAGATGTGAGGAACAACACGAGCATCATTAAGCAGCTGAGAGAGGTGTTTGAGAGGGACTGGTACTCACCCTACGCCAGAAGCCTACAGCCAACCAAACAGCCCAACTGCTCCAGCCCGCTCAGGCCCAGACCCCCCTCAAACCAAACTGCACCCCACAGCGCGAGTGGGAAGGACCCTGCTGGTGTATAACACGAACGACCACACTGACGGGCCTCTGGTGTTTCCCATTTATACGTAAAGGACCGGAGGAGAGGGGAGCAGTTTAATATCTCTTTTTTTTAGGGAAAAAGCACACTTATCAAAAAGTAACCCCAACGCCATGTCCTATCTAACCACATCTGAGCGGCGGGGACACTCAGTTTAAGACTTCAGCGTGTGTGGCTTCCGACGGAGGATGTCATCTCAGCGTGGAATTGGTTTTTAGGTTTGCATACGGATTTTCAGACGTGGCCGCCTCTTCCTTTGTACTTTTAGAGCACGTCTGCTGACCCCGTGGTCAGGCCTAGGGAGCTTAGCATGAGGTGAGCTCTCTTTTATTCTGAGAACTGACTTGGAAGAGAATGGATTTCATCTCGGACAAGAGGCCAAACCAAGTCTTTACCCTTGTAAACCATCTCCAAGGCCTACACCGTCATCTGGCCGTGAACTTGTCCTGCCAGCCTCGGTTCTCCTGAAACGTACCTTTTTCGCCGCCTTGCTCATTTCCTTCTGACGCCATAGATTTTATTTTTATCATTTTCTCTTCTCACCGAATGTTGTCATCTAGTGTCCCTCTAGTCACCTCCACACTAGTTCCAAGTATGATTATCTCCTGAAAGGGTATGAATTCCTCGGAACGGACACAAAATGGAAATAGCGGTCTTTAAGTGTCACCTTTCAACTGCATTCTTCGTCTACCAGGTGGAGATTTTCAAACCACAGCCAGCAATATGTATCCTTTCTCTCAAGCTCAGAAAAATGATGCAGCCACCTGCTAATACGCAGCAAGCTATGAGGTCTAGTGGCTTTCCACATTTTTTTGTTTAGTTTCCGCTATTAGAAAGGAAAGATCTCTGTGCGTCCGTGGACTTGAATTTCTTTAGAATCATGCTGTTAAGAGTATGCCAGCAAACGTTTATAGAGCTATTTAATATACCTTCTGCTATTTAATATACCAAATGCTTTTCAGAGAAATGCAATTTAAATACTGTGCTTAACATATTTTACTAAGAAACAAAAACACTGGATTATTGTTCTATAATGTCACTGTGTGTTGTTTTATATCTGTCTATACAATATATAATGTGTATTTACAGAGACTTGCTACACTAGACAGAGGCATGGCCTCCTCGGAGCCCAGAGCAGGTGGCCTCAGGATGCCCAGTCTTAACGGTGCACCTGACTCTGTCCTTGGCCTTGGGTTTCTATTGGTAACGTAGGGACAGCAAATACCTACCTCGCGAAGATGTTGTTACGGTAGGAAATATTTATAACTTGTTTTGAAATCAAAAGAACCTATATAAATGCTAAGCATTATGATGTAGAATATTTTTATTGAAATAATCTTTGTGGTATCCTGATAGAATCAATACCAGGCTCTCCCAGAGAACCTGCAAGACAGAACCATTTCACAGCTTCCAGTTGCAAGTGCGGAGGAGCACGGCCATGGGGACACCCTGCTGGATGGACATCGGGATCGTGGTCCTTGTGTCCGTCACTGTGGCATCAGTGACATCAACATAAACCTTGACGTGTGTGAAGTATTGTTCATTTGGAATGGCATGCACAGGTGTTTTCAGAGCAAAGACAAGCAATCTTAATTACTTCTTCCTATTTCTAGAGATGTATTTCTAATATACCATAAAGAGTGATGGAGAAATCCATGAATCTTATCCAGTGGGTTCGCTTGGTGTAGGATGGCTATTTTTTTCCCATTTTTTCTATCTTTTCTATTTTCTTCCATACAACTTATTTTATTGAATTTTATTTTATTTTAATATATTCTTATTGATTTCAGAGAGAGGAAAGGAGAGGGAGAGAGAGAGAAACATCAATGAGAGAGTCATTGGTCAGCTGCCTTGTGCACACCTCCCACTGGGGATCGAGCCTGAAACCCAGGCACGTGCCCTGACTGGGAATCAAACCGCAATCTCCTGGATCATAAGTCAGTGCTCAACCGCTGAGCCACGCCAGCCGGGCGAGACCTGTATTTTTAAGGGTAACAGGTTTTTATCAATGACTGGGGGATTCTTAATGAAATTCTTCATCAATAATGGCCAGCCCATAAGACACTAAATAGTTACCATATACCCAATCCTTGTTTGACTAGGGGGTCCTCCATCCAGACATCTCAGTAAAGTATGGGTGGTTCTGGTGATGCTTAAGAAAGAAAGCAGAAAAAGAGTAGGCGTGGAGACAGACATACAGACATACCACGTTCCATCCCGGGCAGACGAAAGCACGCTGGGCTGGGCTTGAGGACATCGGAAGGGAGGAGAGATGGCTGCTCCCTTGTTAGCTCTCAAGCTGTCTCTTGGAGTCTTTGTCACAGCCATGGGACAAGCATCGGCGCGGTGTGAGGGGGCCCCTTCGCTGTCACTATCTTTTGCGTGTGATAGGAGAAGAGAATTCTGTCCTTTATGAATTGACCTTCATTGTCGCCCCCCTTTGAGCCCCACCAGGAAGGTAGCCCCAGGAACCGTGCCCGGGTTTTCTGCCAGGCCCCAGCAGTGTCAGAGCCCTACTCGGCCCGGCAGCCCCCTCTTCGAGGCGGCCCAAGCAGCAGTGACCAGGCCACTGCCTCCAGGAGGCAACGCTGGCCCTCCGGGGCAGCCAGGAAGACAGCCCCTGTGCAGAGAGTGTCACAATTGGGCCCATGTCTCCTAAGAGAACATTGGTTTCTGCCCAACTTTCCTTTTCATTTGGATGCTTTGTCTACCCCTCTAGAAACGGTCTTCCTCCCTTTTAGTGTCTGTGCTAAGTAGACTCCCGACTTCATTTCCCCCTGCAACGAACATCCCAGGAATTATCTCCCAGGGGGTGGGGGAAGGAAAGCAAACCCAATTGGAGACTATATTTTAGATTTCTGTGCCACCTCCATTAACCTAGTGCCTTATTTACCTCAAGCATTGATTTTTTTTTTTTAACTTTTTATAATATTTATTTTTGTTTAAAGTATCACAGATGTCCCTTTTTCTCCCCAGTGACCCATTCCCCCCCACACTGATGCGCTGCATGAGAGCACTTCAGCTAACTGAAGCCCATCTGCTGGGCCTTCAGGCGCAAACTTGCCCGTGAGCGTCAACAGATTTTATGCAGCCTGCTCTCTTCCCAAGCCAGGCAACTCGGATCACCCCCAAATCCAGTCACTGACACGCACTCGATTATCAGTGCTCTTGGTCCCCACTGCTCTGCCACAGGCCGCTGGCCTATCAAATAATTGCATCATAGCTTCTCAGTCACTGGAGAGGACATGGGACATTCTGGATGTTATCCGTGCTCTGTAAACAGCACACTTGGGAGTACCTGAAAATGATAGAAGCCAGGCGCTGAAAGTGTCCACTGTCTTTAAAGGACCTTGTAAAGAGATGCTCCGGGGACTTCCGAAGTCTCATAGGACCCAGAATGAAAACTAGCGTCTTTAAAAGTCACAGCAGACTCAGTAAAAGAAATGGAAGGGCTGTGGGGAAACGTTGCACCCCTTTTCCCGTGCGGGCTGTATTTGTGACCTTGTTTGTGTCACTGCTGATTTGGTTCTTAGTGAGATGGGTCTGACCACAGTTTCGGTTGACCTTACCCTTTGCAAATGTGTTTTGTTACTACAGTTAAAAGTGCCTCGCAGAACCTGGGGCTGACAGGAGCTCATTTCCCACCAGCCTGTGGTTATTTTCAAGTGACTTTGAGTCATTCCGAGTTTTCTCTTTGTTTTTAAGAATTTCCATTGAACTAAATTCTAAGGAAAAAATTAAAAGACTGTAAGAATTTCTCGGTAAGATCAGACCCAGGATCCGGCTGTCTCAGGAATTGTATCCCAGGATCTGCCTTTTTGATCATATGTGTGACCACTTGTGTGAATTTCTTTGTCCAAAATTCGTTCCATTATTTTTAGCATTTAAGGAACGTAAAAAGCTGCCTTCACCTGCAACAGAACAATTATCTTCTGTACTGAAAGGAACTTTGCACTATGGTATCCAAACTCAGTCCCTTATAATCCAACAAAATTCGACTCTTTGGCTTTCTATGCTTATTCTTATTGAGCTGGTATCTGTTATTATAAGCCTTTTAAAAATCATTTTTATTTGAATATAGTTGGCATACAATCTTATATTGGTTATATCAGTTTCAGGTGTACAGTATAGTGACTCAGCATTTTTATATCTTGCAGTGTGATCGCCCCACTAATTCTAGTGACCATCTGTCACTCTGTTAACTTACCATAATATCGTTGACAATATCTCCCACCTGCTCCCTCTGGGAACCATCCCTTTGGTCTGTTTCTTTCATTTTGCTTTGTTTGTTTGTTTTTGTTTTCAGATTCCACACATAAGTGAAACCATACGGTACTTGTCTTTCTCTACCCGACTTATTTTAGTTAGTGTAATACCCTCTAGATCCATCCACGTTGCCCCAAATGGCAAGATTTCATTCTTTTTCATTGCTGTATAATATTCCATTGTGTATACGTACCACCTTCTTTTTTATCAATTCGTCTATCAGTGGGCACCTAGGTTGCTCTCAGAACTTGGCTATTGTAAGTAACGCTGCAATGAACATAGGGGTGCGTATATCTTTTCAAATTAATGTTCTCCTTTTCTTTGGATAAATACCCAGAAGTGGAGTTGCTGGGCCATTAGTTTTTTGAGGACTACTCATACTGTTTCCCATAGTGACTGCACCAGTTTGCAGCCTCTCCAACAGTGCACAAGGGATACTGTAAGCCTTTTTGAAGGAGAAATTAATATAATGTTTATTTGGCCTAAGGTTGATTGAATACATTCATTCATATTTAGCATTTTTCCATATGCTGTGATTTAACATCTTTTCCTTTTATATGTTGGTAACCAAATAGCTATTTATTATTTGTACCTTATTGGTTTAAATTGGTGGAAACTTTTGAGTAGCCCTGAAGTGAACCCCAGTTCATAGCCTATCTTTCCCATTTGAGAGAATTTCCATCTTTGGCTGAATTATGAAGATACTGAATTTTATGGTGACTACATAGGCACTCTTCAGAAGTTTCTCAAAATTGTAAAAACCAAACTTTCTCATTTTTGACCCATTAGCAGTCTTGCACTTAGAGAGGTTACAAAAGGTCACTGGTTGCTTATCCACCTTTTGGCAATTTGATGAAAAGAAATCTGAGATTTAATAGGCTATTATGCGTTTTCTTTTGCTATGTGTAATTACTAAACTTTAAATTCTTTTACAAAGGATATCTTGAATTTTTTAATGTTTCATCATGTAAATAGGATAAAGTTGTACCTGGATATATCTATATTATTAATCTTAAGATACCTAAATAAATTGGTGTGATAAAGGGCTGAATTTGGGGACATCATTAAAATTCTCAAACCTTTCCTGTAACCAAGTGCTCAATTTTTTCAGATAAGTATTAGATTTTTTTTTTTCATTCCGTGAGATGAGGCATTTATTTTGCCCTTCAGCTTGATTGCAGAAACTATCCAGTCTCTTCCGAGTATCCGAGCTGTGCTCAAAGTGTTGAGTAAGGTCGATGCCGTTTCCCAAGGGGCTGTGTTCCCACCACTTGGTATGCCCGAGGAAGCATCCTTGTAACAATATTCCTCTCTCTATAAAAAAAGTTTGTTTCCAATATATCTTGGTTTTGAGTAAATAAATGATTGGTGGTTTTGGGGGGGGTGTTTTTTTGCTTGTTTGTTTTTTAAGTGAAAAAACCAGTGTAGAGACCAGGCTGTGCGTTCCGGCCCAGCGACAGAAAGGCATTTGTGGCTACGATGTCAGCTGCGTCCTGCACTTCCCCGCCACACTGTCTTCTTTCCAGGCTTAAATCCATAATCAGAACACCTGGTAGCTGCTCAATAAGCCCGTATTAAATCGCAGGTTTAGAGGATACCTTGAAAGCCGCCCAAACTGACTCCTCTGAATGCACACATTTCTTCTCCATTTGGCCAATCGGAAGTTGAGGGTCTACTCGAGGCAAACATGTTTGAGCTCTTAGTGCAGTGCCTTTCATAAGACCCACACAGAATAGTTCTGTTGATTTGCTAAAGTAAATTAGATGGAGGCAAAGTCTTATCTCTGAAAGACTATGTGCATACTATGGGTGACCTTTTTATAAAGAGAAGAAATCTAAAGGAGCATACTTTTTAAAAATACATATTTTTATTCGTTTTAGAGAGAGAGGGAGAAACATCAGTGTGAGAGACATCAACTGGTTGCCTCCATAAGCACCCTGACCGGGGGTCAAACCCACAACCTGACCTCAGGGAGTGGAACTGGTGACCTTTCGGCGCATGGAATGACACTCAACTAACTGAGCCTCAGCGGCTAGGGCTAGAGGCATACTTTTTTAAAGCTGTCATTTGAGAGTTTAGCAAAGGCTTAGTAAAGCCAACTTTCTGAATCTGCAATAGTCAATAATAATTTGATTTTATCAGCCTTTTCTGAATCCTTCAATTTATGGGATTTTTTTTACTTGAGCTAACAGTCTGATGAGAGAAGATCCTGTGCAAGGAATCCAATTAAAGCAGAGTAAGGGTGAAGGTTATTTATGATTCATTTTTATGCCATATGAGAGAAAAAATAGCAAGGAAAACATTTTCCGTCTATAAAATGGATATCTGGCGCTCAAACCCATTCCTTTTAGCTCCAGACATGTTGTAAAATTGTTAATTCCTTTATGGACTCTGCTGTCTTCCGTGGGTGGAAAGTTCTAAGGAATGATTGAGAAATTTTGAGCTTATAAGACACAAACACCGACACCCCTGGT